CATGCAGTTTGCTTACGTTTCGATCACTGACTTCACTGAATCACTGGACTGACTAAGGCCAAGTTCGAAGCTGTTCAATAATGGTCCAGATCAGACTGCCAAATCTAAGGTTTCTTTGGTTCCAAGAAACCTTGCATTTACCTGCACATATGAGCTACCACATGATTGGTAATTCTTATTACACATAAGTGGGGGCTGTAAGAAGCCCATAGCCAGGTCTGAAAGTGGTGGGCTCTCAAGTTTCACATGAAACTTTAGTGCCCAGAAACTATAAGAAATTTCTGAAATATTTAATGGTTCCTTTATTATCATTGCAAATAAACATTTCCTTAGGTAAATATGAAAATGCTATTTCTGTATGTAAACATAGTGTTACAAAAGCAATTATATAATGAGAGGTCATCATCAAAGAAAGGTAAAAATAAATGTTAATAGGCGGGTGGAACTCTAGCAGGAGTAGGGAGGGTTCATTCTCTCCCCCCCCCCCCCCACTTCCTGGCTACGAACTTAGCTGTAACCTCTAAATGTTGCCCGTACAACCATTGAAGAACACTGATGTCGATACCTTTATGCAAAGCCACTTTAAGCAGTGATCTCCACAGGCAGTAACAGATATTACTAACTTCAAAAATAACAAAGAAACAATGGTAATTTGAAACAAGATCAACTTAATGGTTCTCTTGACTATGTGTTACGGGAAATCTGCACATATTCAAGATAATTCAGAACAAATATTATAATACTACAAGAAAACAGAAACACATGTGATAATCATTACCACATTTTTCCTCTCTTTCTAATCTCAGGCTTGTCCCAGTCTAACAGTAAAGTTTACTTTCACACCAATAAATTTTAAGTTCGACCTGATTGATAATTGGATTAACCCTTTTTTTGGGCTCCAAAAACATGCATCTTAGAGACATTACAAACCTTGAACAAAGAAAAATATAAATCTAAAACCCTTTGACAAAGATATATATAAAAATCATTGTTTAATGATAATTAATCTACATCATGATATCACAAAACAAGCATAAACCCTTTAATACAGACACAGGAAAGTGCTCACACATCCAAAAGTTGCATTTAAATCATTGTCCAAAATATACACCACATCAGGAGACAAATCATTTAATTATTTCATCACATTCTGTGGCTTTCTATTCTTAAACCTCGGGTCTTATAAAACTTTCTTGATTGCTATAAATTCACTAGTAATTATAAGTTGAGCTTGAGTAAACAACGGCAAAAACTTCACTTTCTGTTGTCTGTCAAGTTCCTAGCCTGGAGTTACGAAAACTGTAGTCACTTTTCCTTTACATTTTTATCTTCCATCACTAATCGACTTCTGATGAAATCTGATATTAGAGGATCCTGCTAGCAGAACACCTTCCTCTACTGGCTCAAGGTTAGCTGCAGTTGGGCCACAAGATGCCTAAAGTTATTGATATTTCTATGGTAGTGTAATGGGAACTGTGGCATACAATAATGGAAAATACCATTGGCCAGATGAAGAAAAAGATGCAGAATTTGATCTCTCTCATATAAAGTATGAATTTAAAATGCAAGGTCAGTGAATTCTATTTGGTCAAAAGGTCAACCAGATGTGTAGGTTGAAAGGAATCTGTAATTGCCTGGTTATGACCATTACCTCCCTCTAAAACTACCTTTAGAAGCTGAGTAATATGCAGGTTACCTTAGACAAATGAATTCACATGTGTTCATGGGAAAATTGACCATAGAACATGTATGTCTGACACTTGTGAATTACATGATCGATAGGCCTATTGGATCTTCACTTGACTAATAGCTTTATTGCCCTCTCTTGCCGTTCCCATGGCTATGGGTAGCTGTGAAACCAGATCCTACAACCTATACACATACCCAGATTTGGTGAAACTAACCTTTAGAACAATCTCTGGTATTTTGATGTTCAAAAACTTTGCCCTTTTAGAAATTTCAGACATCAAATGAATGATATGATCTGGATTTTGGGTCTTATTCTTACCCTTACAATTTATCAAATTGGAAAAATAGTCCAAAATTATATGGTTTTAAATTAGAAGCCTGCCTACATAATAGAGAGTAAAGTTAATTTGATAAGCAGAATGCCCTAAATACATACAGCACTATCAGCATATTTGTAAACAAACCAAAAAAATACAGACAATGTGGAATTTCCATACATCATGTAAGGTTGTAACCTAGCAGAAAAGTTTATCTTTAAATGCACACTTCAAAGTTTTTGCAACAAATATCTTCTAAAAAAGCATCATGAGGATATAGAGTTGGTGGGTATAGCAAGGAAAGGTAAAAAAAATAAAGATCTTGAATCACGCCAAAGATGTAAAAAAAAAGTTTCCTTCAGAATTGAATAATACCTTAGGAGTTTAATGTATAATACCTTACTCTTGAAGGAGTTTCATGTATAATCCTTTACTCTTGTAGGAGTTTCATGTATAATCCTTTACTCTTGTAGGAGTTTCGTGTATAATCCTTTACTCTTCTAGGAGTTTCGGGTATATCCTTTACTCTTGTAGGAGTTTCATGTATAATCCTTTACTCTTGTAGGAGTATAATCCTTTACTCTTGTAGGAGTTTCGTGTATAATCCTTTACTCTTGTAGGAGTTTCGGGTATATCCTTTACTCTTGTAGGAGTTTCGTGTATAATCCTTTACTCTTGTAGGAGTTTCATGTATAATCCTTTACTCTTGTAGGAGTTTTGGGTATATCCTTTACTCTTGTAGGAGTTTCGTGTATAATCCTTTACCCTTGTAGGAGTTTCATGTATAATCCTTTACTCTTGTAGGAGTTTCGGGTATATCCTTTACTCTTGTAGGAGTTTCATGTATAATCCTTTACTCTTGTAGGAGTTTCGGGTATATCCTTTACTCTTGTAGGAGTTCCATGTATAATCCTTTACTCTTGTAGGAGTTTCATGTATAATTTTCTAGCCAATTACTTTTTTCAGAAGGTAAAAATATTTAATAATTAGATCAAGCAGATAGTTATTTGATTTCCACAACAATCAGATATTGGAGAGACTTGTATGTGGAGGGATTGGTATAGAGAATCAAGAACCTAGAATGTTGAAGGATGGGTGTAGCGATTTGTAGTGCTATAATGAAAGGGACAAAACTCAGTGTGAAGATGGAGCAAATGTAAGCACTGTTTGTTGAAGAAGATGGAACAACAGTTGTTTTTTTACAGATTGAAAGGTTGACTGTTGCAATGTCTTGTAGATGAAAATTAAAATGACCTGTATGATGTCCGTACGCAGTATTAGTTTTCTTCTGCAGTAGAAAGATAAAAATATAGGTGTTAGGAATGAACATTATAGTGGCACTTTTGGAAGTTGTACAGTAAATACTGATACTAGTAACTCTGAAGTTTATCATATTGGAAAAGCATTCATGACTGTGTCTATATTCCTGTGGTTTTTTTATGGACAATGTGAAAAAACATCCATACTGAGAAAAAACATAGAAATAATAACACAGTCCACAGTCATTTGAAAAGAGGTTTATGTGTGGATGATTGAGTGAGAATGGTAGAAAGTAGGCTCATCAGTAGCACAGGGTATAAAACTAGTATTTTTTAACAACAGTTATAAATTATCCAATTAAGTTCACTATTGAAATAATGCTTCAAGGGAAAATCTTATAAAACTTGTAATGTTGAAAGTGATTTTTTTGATATAAATGATTAAACTCATACCAGTCAGGGATAAATAAGATCAACTATATATTATTTTCAGATTATAAGGTTGTATTTTGGTAGCTAGTTACAGTTGTACCCTTTTATAACTAATATAAAATATATTTATATTAAGGTATATTCAGATAAATTTTCTTAAGTTTTATACAAGTGTTCTGCATGTAACTAGGACATTCTTTTAAACCAGATATCAAAAGGTCATTCATTTTACTTAGTTAAATGTTAAATACGGTAATAGCTCATAGCATCTCATAGAAACTTGTATTAGTTTGGCCCTGTGTCTGTGTCCATTTCTTGGAGCAGGACAAGCTCATCTGAAGTAGTGGCACAGATATTTGTACATGTCTGTATAAGTTGTAGTTCTCTCCCTTAAATATGTCATTTTGAATAGTTGGTGACATAGGTGATCCGTCATGGGATACATTTTGTCAGAGACTTGAAAGTATGGTATAACATAATTCTTCTTGCCCTTGACCTGTGCAGATGTAATATAAATCGTACTGTCCTGATTCATACATGCATATCTGAAAATTCTTCCTCTTTACCCATGAGTCAGTATTGTCATAACAGAATTTAAGATTCCAACCAGTTTGTTAAATACACAACATACTTGGTGTGAATAAATAAGATGTTGTTTATATGTTCATTTGTGTTTATTTGTTTTTCCTTTGCTGTATCTGTTTGATTTATTCTTTGTATAACATGTCTAGAACCTGTTGTATTTTTGGTATTTATAACTACCTGTTGGATATTAGTGTACCTGAATACCTTAAGATTAATACAGAATTTAATGACAGAATCACAACGGTACATTCAAAATTGACTGGAGTGTTATTAAAGAATTAGGATGAAAATGAAACAGCAGAGTATATAAACCTTAAACATTTATTATTCATTTCTTTTAAATATATTTGGATAACAAATACTAAACAATCTATTAAGCATTATAGCATAAATATGAAAGCCATTTACAAAATCCACATGATTTTTGGTAATGTCATGAGAAATATTTTTTTTGCAGTTGTGATGTTTTTACTGCTGGCAGTAAAGGTATTAAGATAATTAATTCTGTGTTACCAACTTGTTTTTATGATTATTTTAAGTGTAAAAGAAAAGGAAATTCGGGTTTGTTTAATTTTCAAGGATAACTGAAGTTTTAAATGTTGTATAAAGCTTATTTAATAGAAGTTTTCTTTTCAATATTTTGGTAATAAAGAACAGTATTCTAAATGTTTTTTATGTAATTGTTTATAGCTGAATAGTGGTATATTTTCTGTTTTAGGTTGGTAGAGCAACCGGAAAACTTCGAAACTTTATAATTGAGCCATTTGTTCCTCATAAGCAGGTAATTAGTCCTTCAACATCTGTTACAGTAGATGAACATAGTATGGTTTTATATCCCTGGAGATTTAAAGGACACTTTTTTAGTCATTCACCATCTGTTACAGTAGATGAACATAGTGTGGTTTTATATCCCTGGAGATTTAAAGGACACTTTTTTAGTCATTCACCATCTGTTACAGTAGATGAACATAGTGTGGTTTTATATCCCTGGAGATTTAAAGGACACTTTTTTAGTCATTCACCATCTGCTACAGTAGATGAACATAGTGTGGTTTTATATACCTGGAGATTTAAAGGACACTTTTTTAGTCATTCACCATCTGTTACAGTAGATGAACAAAGTGTAGTTTTATATCCCTGGAGATTTAAAGGACACTTTTTTTACTTGTTTTACCTACCATTAAATCATCTTTTTCTTTAGTTTTATGTACTGTATACTTTTCTCCAACTCTTTGAACTTTGTGATCCCGAGTCATATAAATCCAGGTCTTGTTTTTTTGTTCAGGTTAATTTTTGTCATCCAAGACACTGAGAACATCTAATTATCAAAATTATTCCAAAATGTACAGCAATCTATACATAAAATTTACACAGATTAGGTCATTGTTTTCTTTAGTAATATATTAATTTAGCTGCATAATATACTTTCATTTAGTAATAAAAATCTGTAATTCTACTTGTTGATAGCTGTTGACTTAAATATAAACTAATAAACAAGCATTTCTTTAGAAGTGTCTAATCTGTTTTAAATTGGAATACACTGATTTGGAAGTGAGGTAATCTAGTACATAATATCTGAACAAGAAATTGGATTTTCACAATATATTTAGACTGTGAACATTTTATTCTATAAAAACATGTACCAAAAAATTTAACAAGAAATATTCATTACATTCTTTCAGAATTTTTAGCTAATACTTATTTTTTGTACAAATAATATGTTGCACACTTAAATCACATCAACCTAAAAAAGTGGAGTGTGGTGTATTATAAATATTTAAGTGATACTGTAATAGTTACATGTCCACTGAATCATTGTTGTGTATTGTACTTTGAAAGGTTTAAATCATACTAGATTAGAAAAACATAAAACGAAGAATTTCTAACAGATTTTATTCATGGTTGTGAGACATGAGTAATTTCGTGATTCCTTTTGAAATTGGCTTGTACATTAAATTTATTCTTTTCCTGTTCTAAAATTTTGTAGTTTACTGAGAACTGTGTGAAATTTTAAGGGGATTTTAAAATAATTTTTTTAAAATTATTACATTTACATTTGTTTTAAAGAACTTAAAATTGAATGACATATGTATTATTCAGGATGAAGAAGCTTATGTCTGTGTTTATTCTCATCGTCACGGTGACACTATTCTGTTTCATCATGAAGGAGGAGTGGAGATAGGAGATGTTGATGCTAAGGTTAGTGCTGTTTATAGAAGAAAAATATGCATATTTTATGTTGGGTTCTTATGTTGTTAAAGGAATAGGATTAATATTATTAGAGATGATCATGCATAACTGTATAAACTTGATGCAAAGCTAAATCCCATTTGATTTTCACTATGTATATTGCAATTATTGATCATGTATATTTTAATTAGTCAATTTTGTGTTTGACTATGTTATAATTACAGCCTATAAAAGAAACAATAATAAAAACAGTTCCTTTCTTTTAACTAGTTTTTTGGAAGGTTTGAATGCTAATGAATGTATTTTAAGTAAAATCTTTACAATCAATAATAATCACCTGAATTAAGTTTAACTTTGCCCTCAATACAGTTTCCTGTCTTATTTCAAGTTAATCAAGGATTTTCACAATTCTTAACTAGTAAAAGGCCCCCAGTGACTCAGCAGTAAGTTTGAAGGGCTTATAACACTAAAAGATTGGGTTTTGATACCTGTGGTTTTCAGAACATGGATTAGCAATCTGTCATTTTTAATTATTCTTTTTCTTCTCTGGCTGTTTACATGGCTTTGGTTTGGTTTGAATTTCGTACCGAGGGCTATCTGCACTAGTCACCCCTAAATTAGCAGTGAAAGACTAGAGGGAAAGCAGCTAGTCACCACCGACAATTCTTAGGCTACTCTTTTACCAACAAATAGTGGGATTGACCATCACATTATATTGCCCCCATGGCTGAAAGGGTGAGCATGTTTGGTGAGATGGAGATTTGAACCCAAGACCCTCAGATTGCGAGTCGAGCACCCTAACCACCCGGCCATGCCGGGCATATATGGCTTTGAAATTGTGATCCCAAAATTTATCTTATGGAAAGTATCATGTTATAAACAGTCTGTAATCTAAAAGTAGTGATTTTTTGCTTTTTGATGATTATTATGTTTCTATCCAGATAAGTAATCTTTTTTTTTTACCTGAAAAATGTTCCTACACACTTTAATTTCTTAGTTTGTTTTAAGTATTTGTCATTACTGAAATATACTGATACATTTAAACTGTTTTTTAAGGATTATCAACTATATGCATAAACTGTCCTACTTTCTGTTCATTAGGCACTAAAACTTGAAATACCTATCGAGAGAAAGCCTTCTTTGGATGACATCAAAAACAAACTTCTTAAACATCTACCTGCAGAAAAACAAATGTAAGAAGAAGTCTTGTACCTTGATAAAGTCTGATTTTTGTGCCAAATTTATTTTGCTGTTCAATCATAACTGTGTACAAGCAGAAGATTAATTCTTAACTTTAAATTTGCTGTAAATGCAAAAACAGCTTTAAATGAATCAGTCAAATATTGGTGGACATCATTAGTCACTGAAGGCTATTTAATCGCATTTCTTGCTTCCTGGACATACTTATGGCATTGTTCCATGTAAGTGTCTCTTTTGATTAATTATATAATTCACATATTCTTGGTCGCATCATACTTAAATGGAATTATATTACAAAGTGACGTTAGGTTCCACATATCCTATCCTCAATACCATCGATGTATCTTTGCTGAATTTAACCTGATATGATCTGCTTACAGGAAATATATTTATTATTTACAAACATTCTCCTGTATTTAACAATACATTTACAGCTGATAAACATAAATTTTCCTCATCATTCTAGTTTAACAAAATACAGGTGTGAAGTTAAGAGTCAGATTATATATATACAGCTGCTTATAAATCATTAGCTGTCTTCTGAAAGTGTTGTCCATGAGAGAACTAATAAAGATGAAAGTTACAAGCTGCAGGAGACAGAAAGAAATATCTATACAAATATTTCAGTTACAAACACTGCATGAAGTAACAGAATGAAATTTAACAGCATCATGTGAAGAGATTATCATTTATTTTGATGCTAGGATGCTTTGTTTTTAAAGTGCAAGCAAACTGTGTTAGTGTAATGATGTAACAGTCATCACTGATCTTAACATTGGGTAACACAAAGTAGAAAACTAATGTAACTGTGTTGCATATTACATATTGTGAAAATATGTAACATATGATGCTGCTACCAACAAGTTAGTATTGATTTCATAACAGTATTGTTTGTCACAATTTACTCATATCCAGCATATGGGAGAAAAAAAAATATTTTTAGCAAAAACTCCTCATACATCAATTGATAGTTTTTGAGCGTATGTAAAGTTTTCAGAAAAGTTAACTAAATTAACAAACAAAACATAGACAATATTTGTTAACAAGTGTGTGGTAATGGTTACACAGTCCCCTTTTTATTATTATTATTATCATCTCTTAAATATAATTATTTTTTGTTAAGTTGCTCTTTTCTTTTTTGTAATATATGTAACATTATCTTATTCACACCTTTTTTGGTTTATTGTAGGTTTGTTGCAAAGTTTATTCAAGCTTTGTATGAAGTGTATGTGGATTTGTTCTTCACCTATTTAGAGATCAATCCGTTGGGTGAGTCTTTGCTCAGAATTTCATACCATAAAACAATTCTGGCTAGAGACAAAAAATCACAGATATTGGTTTTAAGCTTCATAGCTGTTAAGTAAGAAGATTTTTGTAAGAGCTTCTATTTATTCGGATGTGTTAAACACAACTGCGTGTAAATGGAGAACTAAGGTTGAACTAATCCTTACTTTCTGTGATTAATGAATACAAATTAATTCAGTCAAAAAAGGATGTTGTTATTCAATGGATTTAATAACTGACATTTCATTGTAGAAATTGCTAGGTAAAAATCCATTAGTGCATTAGTTCTTTTGTCAAACACAATAAATCTTTTATGATAGCTTTATTTAGAACTATTCATGGAATTTTTATTATAAAAGTATCAGTGAAATGGGAAGAGCTGCAAGATTCTTGTAAACTGCTGATAATTAAAAATGTTTAGGTTAATTAGGAAATTATTCCATAATGTACATACAATTTTTATGAATGAGCATGTTTATTTTTTAAATCACTACTTAGAAAAATAAAATGTATTTTTCCCACATAAAATGAAAATTCTTCATGAAAGAGAGCAAGTATGTGATGAATTCATCATTTGTATTAGTTTTGATGGTATTTTATGTGATATCATAGGATAACCTGTGTACACTTCTAAAAATAAATACATATTGAACTTAAACATAAATTTAATATTTAAAATTTGATTTACTGTACTTAACATGGCATTTTTTGTTGTTGTTTTAATGTAGTTATTACGAGAGACAAAATTTTCATCCTTGATCTTGCTGCTAAATTGGATGCCACAGCTGAATTCATGTGTAAGCAAAAGTGGGGAGATATTGAATTTCCACCACCTTTTGGAAGAGATGCTTTTCCAGAGGCAAGTGCTTTCTTAAATTGTAACTTGTAATGGGTGTATACTTGTATGTGTCCCTGATTAGTTAGACAGTGATGCTTGTTAATTTTCAGAAAAGAATGTTACCAAATATTTGGTTGTAGGAGGCAGCTGAACTTCTTACTATAATACCAAATCATCTCTCTTTGTTCTCCTATCTCTGCTAACATGTTTAATTCATTTTAAATAATGTTACAGTTCTTCCAACATTTTTTGAAATTTCTTTATTTGATTTTTCTATTTTTCTTTTAAGGTTTTCAGAGCTGAGATTTGAGGATATTCGGCACAGCTTATTGCCTGTTTGTTATGTTTTACTTAACTTTAAGTGAACGCATTGGTGTGAGTTGTTGTAAATGTAAAATGAATTAAAAGTAACAAATAATATCTTAGCTGTGCAGGTTTAACCCTTTCACAAATGCGTAGGTCGAAGTATGCATGTCATAACCTTTTGCAGAGTTACATTCAAAACTTAATTAAACTACTTTATTATCAATGTATACAAATACACTTGGCATCAAAACATAGTTAATAAATCAAATTTTAATATTATATGAATTTTAAGTTCTTAATTTTATAAGGAAATATTTTTAAAAATCATTAATTTCCCGTAGTATGAGAATTTGCTGTTTAGGTCTTCTTTCTTCTCTAATTTATTTACCACTCTTCTGAGAAATACAGCATTTAATGTAAATTACTCATTGTATTATAGATATTACTCGGGCAAAGTGTACTTTTTATAACCTTCAATTTAATTTGTTTATGGAGCCATAAACTAGAAAATCAGACTCATTTGCAAAGCCCACCTGTCACATGCTCTCATTCACAAATTGCCAGTAGTTCTCTCTGATGTTTTATAATATATCATTTATAACCACTAGAAAGCCATAGTTTAAATCTATCAAAGGACATGTTATATTATGTTGTTTTCCGTACAGGGCATTGCTTATTTCATTGTTCAGTTTCAAATTTATTCTCAAAGGAATGCCATTGATGAGATTAGCTAAATTTTTAAAGGCTGTTTTCACATAGTTAGAAAGCTAGAAAAATTATAATAGTTATAGGACATTGTTTTATTTTTGCATAGTATTATTCAGTGTTCTTAGGTGCACTATTTAAGTGATTAAAAAATTTAGTGTAGTAGTCGTACCATTAGTATGAAAAAATAGGCTTAAGTTTCATCGACATTCGACACAAAAAAAGAAGACAAAGATAAGTACTCTGTTTCTTGTTTTTCATGTGTATACTTTATTTATTTTTATAAAAGTGACTAAATGTACAAATTAGAATCTTATTAGGTAAGATAATGAAAAACATAATAATATAAATTCTTCACGAAGTATGTTCACGAGAGTTACTTAATTCAATATGGTAACATGAGTTATACGTTTGCCAAGTTATTAAAACTTGTGTGGTGGGATCATTAGTTAGGCATGCTTCAAAGGGCAATTAAACAATAAAATTAAATATAAATAGATGTATGATGTTACGACCTTTTAGCTATTTTGGGTAAACATTTGTGGTTTCCTGTTACAATTTGCAACAGTCATTCTAGAAATAAAAAATGGTAATTTACATTTATTTCCTAATTTTTTATGGTGGTTACAAGGTCGGTCAAATCAACTTTTTTATAAGAAGTTTTAAAGATAATGCAAATGAAATTTGAAAATTCTCAAATGAAGAAAAGTATTTTTAATCTTAACATAAAAAATCACTCTGCACTCAGAGCAGTCAGCACTCTAATTCCTTATATTTACAGACAATTTTTTAGTAAGTATACTTTATTAAAAATTCAGATTTTATGTTTACAAAAGACTTTTAATGTTTACTGAAAGCTTGCCAAATTTCGTGGACATATATTAAGTACTTTCAGAGTTATAGTATGTATACCCTCATGGTTACAAGCTACTTTGATGGTAATTACAAGGTCACTTAAAATACACGAGCCCATTGTTAAAGGATTAAATAGTGGATACTAAGAATATTCACATATATTATAATTGATAACCACTTTTCAACTTCTTAATATAGTTAAGTTTTTAATAATACCTATATATATATATAAGATAACAAAAACTTTCAAATGTTTGTTATAAACTTAACACAAATATATTAAGTTGAATAATTCTCATGAGATTCTCTGTAAATGTAGAGGATATCCAGTTGATAGTAAAATAAAATTCAGTCTAAGTTTTTAGTTTTGTTGCTACTATGTTTTGTATAATTTGTGTTACGATCATAAATAATATTTTTTCATTTTGACAGTTTGTCCTTCAAACTGTACTGTGGTTTAACTTAAACTTGTTTCGACTGATGAGAATCTTTCAAGTGTCAAGTGCATACCTTC